GTATTTGTTGTAGCAAATTCGTTGTGACCTTTTTTGGGTTTTGGGATGTAGTCACCCCACAGATCACTGGATCTTAGAGTGGTGGGTGTGGCTTCCCAATTCATCAGGTCCATTTGTGTTGCTGGTATCCTGCATCCTTTACAGTAACTTGTGTGCGTGTGTGGTTGAAGACCAAATGGTGTCCATTTTGTGTTGTGGTAGTGGCAGTTCACTTTTGTTGGATCTTTGTGTTGCTGTCGGTATGGCAGCAACTTTGTAGCTGGTCTACTTGTATGATCCTTTTTGGTATGTGGCTGTTGCACTCCACTTTTGTGTTGGTCACCTGTGTTACTGTTTTTGGTGTTGCTAAATGCAGTAACTTTGTTTGGCATTGTTTTTCTTTTCACCTCATAGTTGTAGCCATTTTGCACCTGGTGGGAGTGGCACCCACTGATTTGGCTACTTGTGCAGCTGCTGCTTATTCTTGAACTTGGTGGCAGCAGCTTAGAGGCCGTTTACACTTACACGGTGATTTTGATAAACGGAGACATCTTCCTTCGTTTGTGCCCTTCGTTTACACGCAAACGGAGATTTCTCCTCTGAAAACGAGTCTTTCTAAAAACTCCGGCCAGAGTGGAGATTTTGGAAAACTCCATTTGCGCGTTTTCATGTAAACTGAGATAAATGGAGATAAACGGAGTTATAGGCAGCCGACATCACAGTATGCGCCAGAACTTGCGCCTATGTCAAAAGTGCGACCTATGTTGCTATGGTGACAATGGATACATGGAAGGCTTGAGCTTCTCGTTACACTGCCACCTACAGGTTTGGCATGCTCTTGTGTGTATATATACACAGGTAAGTGTATTTTTGAAAACGGAGACGGTGAAATGTCCGTTTATGAAAATAGCCAGCCACGTGTAAACGGCCTCTTAGTTGGCCCTTTTTTTTATGATTCGATCTTGTTAGATCCAAATTTGACCTAAGGTGACACCTTATCACCCTATCAGTCCTATTAATCTGTGTGTTTAGTTGTTTATCTTAACATACAGCCTTGGTAAGTAGCACTCATTTCCTCTTACACTTTCAATGAATAAATAGCATTTGTCAATGAACTATGGGGTGTTTAACCGTAATGTATTTACTTTAACTGTCTCAGTACTCGAGATTGACAGTGTGACAAATTATTTATTCATTGTTTAAGGGTGGGGGTGTTATGGCTGTATGTCTTCTGTGCTGCTGTCCCTAAGGAGGTGCAGCACACCTGGCATGGAGGAGGTGTTTAAGAGCTCCTGAGTCAGCAGCAGAGGGGAGAGGCACTGGTGTGGGGACTGCTGGGGGGTATTCCAGAAAGCAGGTTATGTGAAAACTCAGAGTAAGTTAACCCTGAGATGAGGGAAACTCTGAGTTATCTGTTCCAGAAAGAGAGGTAACTGAAACTCTGAGTCAATCACCATGGTAACAGACTCTGAACATAACCTGCTCGCTGACAGGTTTTCTTCAATAAACCCTGAGTTTTTCTCTGTCTCCTCCCTCTTACACGCTGTTTCATTTCCTCACTCATTTAGTCCGTGTCAAAGCTTGTATCGAAGCGCATTAATTAGCAGAGATTTACCGTCTGTAACAGTCTAAATCCTGCTGGATATTAGTTTGTTACTCAGGACTGTCTCAAGTTACTGAATTTATTCACATCAATCATTTCTTTGGACATCATTTTTTGTCTTAACATTCAAATATTACACAGTGAGAAGTCACCCTCAGCTCAGAATCAAACCTCTGTCCTTTTTATATTTATTATTTTTTTATAACACTGTGCACAAGGATCAGACTGTCAGTCTGTTACAGCAGCTCCCAAATGTTTATTGCACATAATGTGTAGGTCTAATTATTTAAATTTTAAAAATCGGTATGAAGCTTTAGACACGTAGTTTCAATGACTAATGATCTCTATCACTGATGTCACTGGTCGCACTGATGGAACATAATTCCTATAGCCAAATATTGGGGATTATATGTTAATATTTCTGAGTGAGCAATGGTGCAGGATGTCTTTATGTCTTTGATCTATAGCCTAGCCTATATGTTTTAAATCTTCCTATTTTTCAGTTGCTGCCTCCTGTGTTTTTCCCCATCAGATTAAATCTAAACAAATATATTATTGTATATAACTAATATAATGTAATGTATCTACAGCCTGATACAGTCAGATTCCACCACTTTATCTTCATTAATTAAATGTAAGTCTGATAAATATTGAATAAATGGACAACACTGAATAAAACTTTTTTATTAACTTTATGGTTAACTTATTTACACTTTCCTCACTCTGACTCAGGCTCTTCTTTTAAAGATAAACGTGCACCGTGTGCTACACATGCATTAATATCTCTACATCCACTGGATTAAAATGGAGGCACTGTCTTATATTTACCTGTTGCCATGGTGAATCGTGTATTCGGAGCTCCATTGATGATGGCTTTTTATTGTCGGCTTAACTCAGAGTGAACATACTCAGAGTTGACTGAACTAACTCAAATCAGCTGTTCTGGAACCGGTAACTCAGAGTTTCCCATCTCAGGGTAAATCAACTCAGAGTTCAGGGTTAGACTCCTGGAATACCCCTCTGGTCCTGCTGCCTCTCACTGTGGGATTTTTGTTGTCTTGTCTGCTTGTTTTCATTCTAATATTCCCATGGATTTGATTGTTTGAAAGGTGTTTGTGTTTTTTTGTGGTTTTTACTGATATTTTAATGTCATTTTTAGTCTTGTACTGAGGTTTTAATGTCACTCTTAGTCTTTTATCAATGTTTTGTTATTCTTAGTTTTTAACTCCAGTGTTTCCTCAGTGGGGGCCCTCTGCACTGGGGGCTGTGATTGGCCCTGGCTGCGTTGGCGCTGCCTCGTGGGTTGCTTCGACTGGGTTGGGGGGGCTGCACTCTGCCTTCTTGGCGGTGGTGTGGGCCCCTCTATCTGCCCATGTTGAGGTGGACTCCGTGTTGGTGTCCTGGTGGCCACGGGCTGTGATCAGCTCCCGGTGCAGATGGCTCCCTGCAGTATTGTTTCCTCACCTGGTTGCTCTGCGCTCTGCCACATGTTTTTATGTCTACATCATGACTGTTTGTGGGTGGGTGGGTGTGTGTCTGGGTGGGTGGGTGTGTCTGTGGGGGTGTGGGTGGCTGGGGGGTGGATGGGAGGGGCATTTCTTCTAACCATGTAAAGCACTTTGTGCTACATTTTTTGTATGAAAAGTGCTTTATAAATAAAGATTAATTGATTGATAGATTTAACTCCTTTTCCATTGTATCGATTGCCTTCTGCCTGTGAATGTTGGATAACAGACTTAGACTGACCTTATTGTCATTCAGATACACACCTTACAATGCACATCAGAATGAAAATTTGTTAAAGAACAGATCTTACATAAAACATAACACTAAAACGTGAACACCACATATAGAAAAAACAACAATGAGCCAAAAAAGAACGTGTGGCTCTCCTACTCCAACTAAACTACCATAGTGCATCAGTATGAAAAGGATACCTGACTTGCCTTAGCTCAGGTAACCGTAAAGTAGAATGGGAATGAAACAGTATGGAACCGGTGCATAATAATAATAAACTACGTGTAGGTTAATATCCGAACATACCGATATGGCCATCAATGGTTAAGCAGTTAAGCACTCAGTCTGGATACTGAGTCCTGCGCTGCGAGGAAGTAAGCTGCTACGTCTGGCGAGGTGAAGGTGTGGGTCCTGTTTGCGGAGACCCTCAGAGTTGCTGGGTACAGCATCGAATATGACATACCCATATTCTTTACGGTGTCAAACTGCCGACGCTGCTGGAGCACATCTTGAGAGGGATCCTGGAAGAAGAAGATCCTGTTGCCCTGCTATTCAACTCTCCACGTGGTGGGCTCGTTCTAGCTCAAATCCCGAATTCACGTCAAGACCCAGTATATCAGTGAGTATGGTGAGCGAGAAACCATGTAGGTCCTGTTTTTCGGCATTTTCAGGTATGCCTGTCACATGAACGCCATTCCGCCTCCCTGCGTCTTCCAAGTACGCAACTTTCTCTACCGTGGTTTTAAGTGTTTCCAGGCCTGTTTTTATGCTACTCACATCTGCTGCAATCCCTTGCAAGAGACCTTTGATGCTGACAAGTTCAGATTTGGTGTCCTCAGGTGTCCATTGAGCTTGTCCTCCTCCATTATGTTTTTTAGGTTGTCTTGTTGAATGAGGTGGACTTTGCTTCGGGTCTTGCGACATATTTGTTAAAAGCAGTTTCTGAGACTATTTTAGCAAAGTTTAATCCAGTTTTGCAGCTGACGCATGGGGGTAGGATAGCTTAGCTGAACAGTGTCACACCTCACCTTAAGTCCAATTTAATTAAATTTTTAAAAAATTGTTGTAAAATGTGTACTCAATGTTTTTATGGTCATATGACATCGAGTTAAATGCTCAATAACCAAAAAACATATGTTAAACTGAAATTCCTGTCAGACAAGGGTCATGTGAGACATTCATTTTGTGTCTGGTGTACTCAAAATTTGTGTGTTACTGTATTGTACTAAACTAAAAGTTTACACTGCAAGCCGTTTCCAAAATGTTTTTAAATTGAGTGAGTGAATTGGGGTTTATATATATATGGCTGTATAAATCTTACTATGTTTTGGTGCACACCTTTTTCAGCTTTTGTGCCCATGAACATTTTTAGCATGGATCCTGTGCACTGGTTTATGAATCAAGTCTCTGGACCCCCAGAGTTGGACAAGTAGAGTACTACTCTACTTGTATCTGCAGCAGGCCCCATCGCTACCACTGTTTATGCTGTCTGATTTCATGTTTGATTTGAAACAACAAAAAGATGACATAACTTAGGTATTTAGTTGTTACTGTGTGGTGGGGTTCTCATCTCTTACTCCCACACTTCCTTCACCGCAGAAGAGTTACTTTACCGACAGTATATTCAGAATGGATCAACCATAAGAGCTTTTTTCTTCTCAGTTTCTTCCCCCTCACTCACCTCTTGAGCATGTCCAACTGCAGCCTGAGCTCCTCCTGCCTCTCCTGAGTTTCTCTGGCTCTCTGCCTCTCCAGCTGAGCAACCTGCATACAGAGCTGGTTCAGCTCTCCCTGCCTGCGAGTGACAACAGTCTTTCAGTATCAGCCGTTACTGTTCTCTTTGTACCTCTGGATTTAATACAATGGATTAATAAGGTTCCATAAAGTCCCCCTGTCTCTTATCAACACAATGCTTTATTTCATGTTGAGGTGTCTGAGGAAATTAAATGAACATACTACATGTCTTTGATTTTTTAATTTTTTTTATTCTTTGTATGAACCCATATTCCACTACAAAACAGAATGACACCACTGTATAGCGTGTGCTACCTTAAGCGTATGCATATTACATATCCCATAATTTAGTATTGTAACCCTAATCACATTTAAGGCTGCAGCTCTGTTTTTTTTCTCTCAGCTGTTGTCCCCCACACATTCATGCATTACAACATAAATAATTAACTTTAAGGATTTGCCCTCTTAAGGGTGGTTTTTCAGCTATCATGTGAATCAACTGTGCTTTATAGTTTATTTTTACTCTCTATTTACTTATTTACTAAGTACAGACATAGCAGAATGTAGCAAATTGCTTCCTTATGCAATTGTGTGTTATATACAAAGGGGTTTTGAACATAAATGAACAGTTTATAAAGTAATACTGGTGGTGGAGTTGGAATAAGAAAACAGTTGATGACTTGAAAAAATGTGGTTGTTAAATATAGCTGTGGTTCATGAGGTAGAGCCAATCTTCCATTACTGCAAGATTGGAAGTTTTATCCCTGGCTTCTACTTTACACTTTGCGGTAAACCCAAACTGCTCCCGATGGTCAGGCCAGTGCCTTATATGACAGCTCCACTGTTAGTGTGTGTGTGTTTGTGAGAATCAATGTCCTACTGAGGTTGAAAAGAAATAAGTACGTTCATTTACCATTTTATGTCTAGCAAACTAGAATTTTCGCCTCACGGTTGTATGCCTCTGCTAACATGTCAAGTTGCACTGACAGTTTACATGCATGTCTGTAAAAACATTGATGCTTCACACACATCTTCCTCCTGGTAGCACAGAAGTTCTGTACATTCAGCATAGTTTCAAGGTAGACACCCAAGATTAGTGTCACCAGTTCAGTATCTGACCAAATGTATCCCCTTCTGTTCATAAGACATGACCTTGAATAATGTCCAGAAATGTGTTTTTGCAGAATATTATGAAATCGCAGTGAAAGTGGACGTCCACAAGCCCTGTGCGCGCAAAGCTCAGATTTTACAACCGCGCGCCAGTGACTGCTCGGCATGTATTTTTCACATCGCGGGGATTTTTCACGGACATTTTTACAGGAAACTACAACGCGGAAGTGCGCTCGACTATGAAAGCCTGAATGACTACGGACATTCCTCGCGGAGTCTGCTCTGCTTATAGTACGCCCGAGTATGTTCACTTAGTCAAGGATAAAGTATCAGCGTAAGCCAATCAGAGGCAGCGATTGCATTCCGTACACAAGCGCACAGAGAGAGAGAGAGAGAGAGGGGGAAAAAACACACGACTTGTCGACTCCTCCCAGGGGATGTCGACTTGTGCCACTGACATCGACATGTTAACAAATCAATTTTTCTGTTAATGCCCTAGTGCAGAGGCATAAAAATACACTCAATGAGTTGAAAGATCACCTAACTGCCTCCTCTGACTATCTTAAGAAGAGGAAAATTCAACTTTGTGTTTTGTTCTATTTTGCGTTTTGTTCATTCGTGATCTTGTTGAGGTGACTATGAATAAACTGACAATTTATGTACATTTTCCTTCTGATGTATATGAAGCACACATTTGTTTTTCATATTCTTGTTTTTTTTCATTTAGCATCATCATTCTCAGTTTTGCAGATATGTTCTTATTTTCCATTTTAATCTAATCTAAATGTCACACATGAACGTTACCTTCCATGAATTTGGATTGAAGAGGGTCAGATGAACTGTACCTGTTGTGTTCCACAGTCAGAGCTCTCGCAGTTATGACATCATATCTCTCTAGCTCTCTGTCTCTTTCATCCAGGATGGCCAGGTTGAACTGGAAATCTTCCCTCAGTTGCTGGTAACGTTCTCTGAAAAAAGGACACATTACAAAAATAATAAATCGTTTATCACTGTGCTCTGAAAGAAAGACAGGACCTTATTTAAATCAGTCAAAGGTCAGCAGGAGGGTTATTCAAAAGGAGGGGGCACAATAAGAGAAGGCCCTGCAGCCTGCTGACATCTTATTAACTGTGGGGACAGACAGGGGCCCTGCAGAGTGGACAGCATATAGGGTTGAGGAAATCACTCAGAGAGGAATGACGGTGTCTACTATTTTGTAACTCATCAGAAGCAGCTACCCTGCTCACTGCTGTGAATGTGTGCTTTGTGCTAACGTTGACCGCTTTTGGCTGCTGAACAAGAGGCTGTAGCCACGCAGCAGCTCTCGTGCCCTGGTTCAGGGTGTTTGTGCTGTGCAACCACAGACAGTATATGCTTCAACTCAGGGGTCGACCACGTTACTGTATTACTGGGTTAGCTACTAAGGAGTCTGTACCTGTGTGGTGGCTCACTCTTTTGCTCTCTGTGTTTCTATCCACCACTTTTTCTCACCTTCACTCTCATAATTCACAGTGAAACCAAAGTGGCTCCAAACACCAGGGGCTTCATGTACAAAGACTCGCATGGATTTCCTGTTGAAACATGGCGTACGCTTAAATCCAGAAAACGTCGTACGCACAAAAACGATGTATGAATCTGTGCATACGCATGAATCCAAGCATATTTCCTTTGTACATCCCAATCAACGTGAAATTGAGCGCACATGTTGGAGTACCCGACCCCTGTCCACGCCCCCATTTAAATATGCAAATCATATTTAAATTAGCCCTGCACCTAAGATTCCCCTCTCTGCACGAACTAAAACAAAAGATTGAGTTAGACGGGAAAAAAGAAAAACTTCACAGACTGCGAATTAGAGACGCTACTCACTGAAGTGGAGGCACGCAAAAATTTACTTTTTGGCACGCTGTCCTCCGGCATCAATACTAAATGCAAGAGGAGTGAGTGGGAGAGTGTGTGTGAGGCTGTCAATGCTGTTGGGTCAGAAAAGCATACACACGCAGAATTAAAAAAGAAGTGGTCCGACATTAAGGTGGATGTGAAGCGGAGGACGGCTGCCCACCGCCAAAGTGTGGCCAAAACAGGCGGGGGGACAGGAGAGGAGGAGCTCACCCCATTTGAACAGAGACTCGCCGCAATTGTGGGTGACACTGCTCTCTCAGGGGTAGTGGGAGCACATGTGGGTGACTCAGATTACCCCCAAGGTAAATACTTATACATCTGTGTAACTTACAACAAATGTGTTAATATGGGTCATATAATAGCCTGCTCACAGCCCTATAAGATAGAGGTTCATGCATAAATGTTGTATATATGGTATTATTTGGTTTGAAATAAATCTTTTGAATTTAAATTTAAACATGCCAGTAAATCAAAGGTGTGTTAATTGTTCATGTGTCTCTGATGTGCACATCACTCTGAGGACTAATTGTTTTCACATTTATTTATTATAACAGTTTCCCAGCATCACCTCTAAGTGTTGCCATCAGGATCAACAGCTATAGAAACTTGGTACACCAGCCATGAAATTGGCGTAAGGCACCGCACATTTCCACAGTCATTTCACTCTTGATACATCTGAATTTTGCCGTGGAAAAGGACGTACGCCATGTTTTTGTGCGTACGCACCCTTTGTACATGAGGCCCCTGACCTGTAGGTTATCAGAGGATCTTCTATTTCTGGTTGGGTAATGATGTTACTTACCAACTTGCAACAAGCTAGCTTAACGTAGCTGCCTCCCAGTGTGTGTCACTGCAGTTAAAGTGCTCTGGTTTGGGGGTGGGAGGGGCAGACAGCATGTTGTCTGTTCTGTCCTGTGGGCTGCCTTATTGAGCATAGTGACACTGAGAACATTATATTAACAGAGTTTAAGCTGTAGATTTTATTTACCAAATGTAATGCGATAATTCGACACATCATGGTTTGTAATGTATATCGAACCTAAAGCCTTGTACCGAATGGTTCAATATGAATGTGTTCACAATATTGGATTTTTGCTGATATCCAATATGCCGATATGTAACAACTAATTAGACCAATAACCAAGACTGATAACGATATACCCACTTTTTGCCCTACCTAAGTTTAGTGATCATCAAGTCTCTTCTGTAGTGGAACATCATATTATGCATGCATACTCTTATCATGATGGCCCACCAGCAGATGGAGATATGAAATACAATACTCCTCAATGTATATAATATTCATTCATTGTGCAAAATAAGAAAAAGCATGTTGGCTGATTCTGTTCATTTTAAAGCCAATATCTGCTGATACGGATCATATTGTGGATACTGTCATGCATCCCAAGAATACGTGTAATATTACATGTATTACATTCTTTTATATATGTTAATCCTTATATTAACTTCAACCATGTAATTTCTTAGATTCTCTAGTTTTCAATAGTGTGTTTTTATTTTTTATATTTAATGACCATCGTTGAAGGGAGCATGAGATCTAAGATTTTTATTGCCAATGACTGCTTCCTTCTAAATGTTGTTCATATGAAAATAAAGAACATGAGACTTGAAGAGAGTTTGGTGAATCTTGTAACACTCATTTGAGCAAAGCTTACAGAAAACGAGAGATTCAGGGTAAGGACATGAACATGTTCTTGTTTGAAGCCCAATTGTAAAGTTCAACACATAAATACAGCTAAAACAAGGACAACAAAGCTTAAAGGCGCTGTATGTAAGAATGTGGCCAAAACGGTTACTGCACTCAAATTCAAAATACTGCCGCGAGTCGTGTCCGCCCCCCCTCCCCTAAAGATTCAAGGTTGCTGGACAGCGGCACGCTGGAGACTGATTTGTTTGCCCACGGGCGGCTGCCGTGGCAGGGCCGCGTCGCCACGTCCTTGATCTTCGGTTTTCCAGCGGACCGAGCAAGTCTGGCTTCTCTGCTGCTAATGCTGCTTGCCGTGCTGCTGTAGCTCAGTCATAACTGTAACTGATGCTGAGACTCTACTGACTGTGTGACTGGTAGACAGCGGTGGGTGGTGCAACAGGCCAAAACACAAATTCAAAACATAAACATGATTTGCAGACTGTAAAAATGTTTTTTAAATGCGAATATTCTGGCTGTACTATTGTTGTCGGTGAGATCAGTATCAGTTATATGAACATTATTCCTTAGTCTCTGTGACATATTAGGATGATTTTACGACTATTTACTTTAGGTTTCTTACATATAGCTCCTTTAACAAAGATAACACACATAAATATTTAAAGGGAAATTCTGGGTTATTTCAACCTGTCTCCTATCGTCCTAAATTTGTTTCAAGTGAAATAATAGTTAGCATGTTAGCCGTTAGCCTAGATACAGCCGTAGCATCAGACCTGTTAAAACTTAATTGAACGGGCATCCTTTCAAGTGCAAAGTTAGTCCACTAAACAAGCTTTTTCTCCACAAAGACTGCCTCATGTCGTTAGGATAAATGTCAGAGAACATATAGAAAACGACATGTAAACATGTTGTCTTACCTTACCGGTGTGGTGCCATGTTTGTTGTTTACCATTTAGCTAAGGCTGCAACCAGTCCCATTCCTTGCAACAGAGGTATTCCTCTTCTGTGGGCATTGGGGTACAGCATTCACAGGTAACGTTACACCACCAATCTCCAGAGCTAAAGCCTTCCAGCAGCCATTCCTCCTCTCTCGTCCTCTACCTGTTGTGGCTCTCTCTCTCTCTCCTCCTCCATTCTTCAATTTCATGAAGCTCTTCGTCAGTGTATTCTGGCTCAAATAAATAAGGGCAGCCATAAAACTCTGCAAAATCAAATTCCTCCTCCACAAAGTCGAAGTCTGGCAAAAAGTCAGCCATTATTCTATAAATCTTTCATAAAATAAATGAATGAACCTTTCAGGCTACTGTCCGGTTCTGCCTTGCAGCTGCTGCGGCTTGTTCTCGCGATATTCCGGCCGCGCTTTGGAAAGCAGAGGTAAACGGTAAACGCACAGTAAGGTAAGACAACAACTCTGAAGACCACCTAAATGTGGAATGTTAGTATATAGGCTTTCCACATCGAGAGGCGATGGCCGCCCTTATTTATTTGAGCCAGAATACACTGACGAAGAGCTTTGTGAAATTGAAGAATGGAGGAGGAGAGAGAGAGAGAGGCACAACAGGTAACGTTATAGGACGACAGAGGAGGAATGGCCGCTGGAAGGCTTTAGCTCTGGAGATTGGTGGTGTAACGTTACCTGTGAATGCTGTACCCCAATGCCCACAGAAGAGGAATACCTCTGTTGCAAGGAATGGGACCGGTTGCAGCCTTAGCTAAATGGTAAACAACAAACATGGCACCACACCGGTAAGGTAAAACAACACGTTTACATGTCGTTTTCTATATGTTCTCTGACATTTATCCTAATGATATGAGGCAGTCTTTGTGGAGAAAAAGCTTGCTTAGTGGACTAACTTTGCACTTGAAAGGATGCCCGTTCAATTAAGTTTTAACAGGTCTGACGCTACGGCTGTATCTAGGCTAACGGCTAACATGCTAACTATTATTTCTATGTCACTAGTCACTTGAAACAAATTTAGGACGATAGGAGACAGGTTGAAATAAACCGAAATTTCCCTTTAACTATCAGACTATGTACATACAATCACAGTAGGTAAAATAACAGATGCATATCTAAATATATATAAAGCCTATATACCTATAGTGAGAGTAAATTGGTCAATGACATATTCTCCTCCATCACTCACTCACTATAAATGAGTGGCTCTTGCACGAGGCCCAATGTTCTTGGAACTGTGTTTAAGTAAACTGAGACAGCTAGAAATCAGAGTCACATTCCTTACATATGTAAACACACCAATAAATCTGTCTCTAATGGAACAATTAAAAATGCTCTGTTAACTCAAATTTCAAAAACAGATTTTTGTCACATATTTATTTAGGACATACTTTTGTAGCAGAATATTTTTTATCAGATATTTTAATTTGTGTTTGTTCGGACTGTGAGACACACGTCTGTCTCCAAAAAAATACAATGGAAGTGGACGAATTCAGTCTGTCGTGCTCACATCATTGAAAATGACATTTAAACATTTCAAAAGCATGCAGTAGCAATGTGTTTTTCCAGACACAATGTCCTGGTTATTCTTGATAATCCACACACCTTCATTGTATTTGGTTGGAGGCAAATATCTGCAACACATATTTCAAAACCTGTGCAAATAAAAGCAAAGCTATCTGCATGCACGGATACTGTGACAGGTCTGTGAGGAAATATGTTCTTTTGTAACTGGGCTTACCCTTTAACAGTTCAATTGTTGTTATCATTTTACTTAACTGCAGACTTGATTACTAAACTTACCTGCACTGAAGCAGGTGACGCATTTCTCTTTTTCAAATTATAAATTTCATATCAAGTGGAGTCAGTGTGCTTTACCCAAAATCAAGACACAGAACAGTGCCCACCCAGAGACACAAACAGTAAAGAAACAGAATTCATCAGAAGCCTTAGCAAATAGAAAAAAACCAGGCCGAGGACATGTTTGACAGCAAACTATTGCAAACTATGTAATGAATATTATAGCAGAATACATATATGACTGTAATGAATCACAATTTCCCCTTGGGGATCAATAAACTATTTCTAATTCTGATTCTGAAAACAAATAATGGATGGGCTGGTTTATTGATAGGACAGCTAAGATAGACAGGAAAGGTGAGGGAAAGAGGGCGAAGACATGCAGCAAAGCGCTGCAGGTCAGAAATGAATCAGGGTTGCTGCAGAGGACTTAGCCTATATGGGGCGCACACTCCACCAGGTGAACTAGAGGTCACCACAGCAAATCATACATTTTCAAAGGAATCTTTCCAGCTAAAAGCTGAGGTGTACAGTCAGGGTCACTCTGGTGTGGGCTGGACGTAGGTGAGATACCTGAGGGAGGAGTACTCCTCCTGGGCCTGTTGGAGGGAACTCTCCAGTTGATGAACCCTTGCAGCCAGGAGCTCCTTCCACTCCCTCTCTTTACTGGCCAACTGGGCCTCCAGGTCTACCAGTCCACTGTCCCCGTCTGACTGCATGGCTGAACTGGGATACACCTAAGAGCCAAGATATAGGTCATCATGCATTTCAGCTCATGCTAATAGTTTTCTTACTTCCTGCAGCAATGCTAACATAGTTTCTGTGGGGAGGCCCATGAACACTAGGAAGTCTTTCCCAGGAGAGAGAGTGTCCCTAAGGGGGGAAGAGTTTGGTGATTATATGCTGAGCTACTGCATTAACTCACCAACTCTTTAAAGTCTGTCCACACACAGGTAAAAGCAGCCCGACCAATTAATCTGCAAGGACCATTCCTTTTACAGCCTGGAGACTGGGTGGGAGTGAAGGATGGTCAAGCAAGATCATATTGCCGTGAGAAAGCTGGGAATGTGTTTTCTGAAATGTTGGGCTTTCTGGTTTGTTGTGATATTACTGACACTGAGGTCTCAGTCAATAAATCTGTGGACATCTGATGTGAACAAGTTGGCTGGTAAAGAAGCAGGCATGTCAAATATTTTTAAGCACTGGTGAGGGTCTCATATTTTTTTAATTTTGGCTCAGACAGACAGACAGACAGACAGATAGATAGATAGATAGATAGATAGATAGATAGATGCTTACAGAGAGTTGTTGCTACAGTGGATATGCTTGGCGCAGATTTAGGAGTTTGACATTGCAGGTATTGCAGAGTAAGGTGATTATATCAAGGCGTGAGAGCAGTGCAGGAGCAATGAATACTATTCATTCAATAAATATTCAATAATATTGTAATCTGTTACAGTTACAGTGAAAATCTATGGATGAGAATCACCAGAGGCCTCACAATTCAATACGATCAAAATACTTCAGTCACGATACAATATTGTTGCAATTGTAAATGTTATGTGATTTGCCAAGTACAAACATCACAAACATCCCCTCAGACTGCAGAATGAACGGTTTAGATTTTGGTAGTCAAAAGAAACACAAAAGCCTGACATTCTGAAGCAAATGGCGGTGGTATACACAGAAAGATCCAACCACTTTGCGTCATTTGGAAAACAAGTGGCTGTGGAACTCGGACTGATCAATGACCCACCAACAGTTTCCAGGTTAAATTTTTGGATTTGACACTTGGCTATTTGCAATGAACAGGCATCACAGACCCAAAACACAGATACACAAATTTTGAGATTTCTACAAAATCAAGGTGTACCCGAACAGTGCCTCTCACACATGGAAAAAGATGGTGTAAGTGTATTTTTACATAGCCCACTTCTTTAAAAAGCTGAATTTCAAAGCTTCCAAGGGTCATTCAACGTTGTGTATGGTCAACATAACTTAGCTAACCTAGCCAGCCAGCCAGCCAGGCAGCCCAGGTAACTCTGTGCTGTTTATCGCCCAGCACCGGGCGGCTCACTTACCGTTGTACACAGGTACCTTTCCCTGTCTAGGTGCTGACTAGACAAGAAGGGAACACAGTAAATATGTATGTATAATTTATTAAGTTTGATAATCTGCCAGGGGCATTGGAGGTCATTTCCAGTTTCATACTAACTTTAGCTAAATGTGCATTAATGTGAATGACCACGTCATGATAATTTAGAACTAACGCTAATTGTTATTAACCAAAAATTACAACAATTTGACAATGTTTTACAGTGCAAAAGACAGCAAACTTAAACACTTTAAATACTGTCACAGCAGCCACCGACACAACAAACAGAGCTATGTGAACTGTAATGAAGAGAGATAGACATGTCCTGGAAGCTGGCCAGAGATGTAGCTCACAGCAATTTCACCATAGTTTGTGAAAATGCAGGCCAGTGAGGATGCAGACAGTTCATGCAGGAAACAATTATATTTGACACGGATCTATGATGTGTATTCTACTCTCTATGAATGGGTCCAAAGGCTGTCAGTCATGACAGACTCCTTTCTGTAATACAGCTCATACACTTCACAGAGAAAAACTAGGCTTCATGACCAACTTAATATAAGTTTTTGTATCATTTCTACACTACGCTGTCCTTCTCCCTCTCTCTCTGTTATGAGGTTATGTTTTCGCCGGCGTTGGTCTGTTTGTCTGTTTGTTTGTCTGCAAAATAACTCAAAAATTTATGAACAGATTTTGATGAAATTTTCAGGAAAGGTTGATAATGGGACAAGGAACAGATGATAAAATTTTGGTGGTGATCGGCTGAAGTGAAGTGGATAAGTGCTTTTCTAGTTTATTAGTGTTATACAGTATGCTGCTAGTTATTAAATGTTGGGCTTTCTGGTTTGTTGTGATATTATTGACACTGGAAGGAACAGATGATAAAATTTTGGTGGTGATTGGCTGAAGTGAAGTGGATAAAATAATAAAATGGTGGGAAATCCGAGCTGCTTGGCAGAGGTCTGCACTCTCCGAGTGCTTTTCTAGATTATTAGTGTTATACAGTATGCTGCTAGTTATGAGCACCAAGATGCTCTTATATTTTAAGCCAGAATTTGATTTCAATATTATCTATCTAGGGACAATAGAGCTGCCTTTGTCATCACAGTTACTATATTTAGTGGAAAGTCTGTGAATTGTCTGTCAAATAAAATACATTAGTGTACTATATTTATACACGCACATACACCCCCATCCACATGAACAAACCCTCTAAGTGCGTGTCTCTCTCCCCCTCTCCTCCCCAGGGAGTGCAGTAAACATTTAACATTAAAAATTAGTACATTGATAATCTGCCAAAACTCAGAATTTTAGAGCAAGTTCTAGATGCCAGAGCTATTTCATAATCTAGAGATTTAACCAGATCACATATCCTATTGTGCACATTTCCAAAGAATGATCAGTGCCCTGAGGTCTTTTGTTACTGTCACTTGATTCACTGGGACACTTGAGTGTGTGTGTGTGTGTGTGTGTGTGTGAGAGAGTCTTTGTCTTTGTGTCTCTCTGTCTGTGCATGTGTCTGTGTGCGCATGGGCTTGTACATGGGTGTGGTGGGAGGATGTTGCCGGTGTTTTTGGTCTTGTCCTTGAGTTATAATCATTATGTCTGTCTTGACAGATTGATATCACAGTCATCAGCTCTATGGATGATAATGATCTGGCTGGCTACATCCCAACATATGGAGATCGGATAGCAGCAAGACGCTTCTGTTTGGAAAACAAAGGTGCAAATGCAAAAGAATAAAAAAAAAAATCACTGCTTGAAAAACTAAAGAAAAAGACGGGCATCGATGATAATGATGATAAGAAATCTGATAATGAGGAGACTTCTGCACCAAAGCGTAAAAGAATTTATGCAAAAAAGAACAAATGGGCTGAAATAAAAACCAGAAAAGTTGGGGTGGATTCATGAAGGCAAACAAGTAAGAAAACGCATAGGAGGGGGAACAAGGATAGGCTACTTGATGTACCCAAAGAATCAAAAAAAGCTGACATATTACAGTATGCTAAAGACCTTTTCTTCCCAAATGGAAAAAATAAATTTGGAAGATTTGAGACATTCAGTCATGACATATTAGACTATCAGGAGGAAGCTGTTTTTGATGAAGATATCACAATTGGGGACCTATACACAGTATGAAGAATGGTAATGTTAAGATTTTACCTGTGCAATAAGAGCCTGACAGATGAGGATGATGAAGAACATGATAAGGAAAAATCAGATGAGAACAATTATGTACAACTGGGAGACACATGTGAAGAAGATGAGCATCTTACTCAAACAGTTGTCATCCTGTCACTAGATTTGAAGGTCGATGCAGATGTATCTTTAGACATTGAGGTGGTGTTTGGCCCCCTCCTTGGAGATCCCATGGATAGTCAATTGAATGACACATTGTTACATGAACCCAGTGAGCAGTTTGAAGATGATGAGACAGCCTTCATATGCATCACACTTCCCCCAACAAGCACAGTAGGCAATCCTCCAGACACAGTATCTATTGATGACGCAGCAAGCACCTCTGCAGCATCATATGAAGTTGTCTCTAACACCATAAAACTTCATAGAGTCAATCTCCTGGAAGAGATGATTAGCCAGTTCAAAGATCCAGCACTCCTCAAACACCCCCTGAAATACACCTACACCGATGAAAAAGGAGCGGACGCAGACTGTGTCTCAAGAGATGTGAATGCTGCATTTTGGACAAAGTTCATGGACCAAACAGCTGGAGGGGAGGACCTAAGGGTTCCATCACTGTCTCCTAAATGGCAGGAAGAAGAGTGGAAATCCATTGGCCGAATTCTACTGAAAGGATTTCAACACCATGGATACTATGCTTGTTGCCTTGCCCCTGTTTTCACAGTGTCACTTATTTTTGGTGAAAATGAAGTCTCATATGATATGCTGTTTGAGAGTCTTCTTCTGTACATAAGTCAGTCAGCTCAGGATCTGATAATCACTGCCTTAAAAGAAGATCTTGTAAATGAGGACAGGGATGAACTACTTGATCTTTTGGATCGCTTGGATGTAACAATGCTTCCAACTCAAGGGAATTTGAAAGGCATCCCTTGAAAAATTGGCGCACAAGCAGCTGATCCAAAAACCAAGATATGCAGCAGAAAAAATGTCATTAATTGCTGGCCACTTCCTAAAAGAAGCATTTATGAGCCCATAAGATGTCCTTCAAATGTATGAGGATAAAAAGCAGTCAACAAGAAAGCTTTAGAAGTTGCTGGATAGATCTCCTAACACCCAAGCAGAGAGCCAAAGCTTTCGTTTTCTGCAACAGTACATCAGAGGACTGGATGATGCAGGACTCAGAAGGATGTTAAGGTTTGTCACAGGGTCAGATGTTATCTGTGTCAACAAGGGTGAAGTCCCGTTCACACCATTAGACAGACTGGCACGAAGACCAGTAGCGCATACCTGTGGGCCAGCCCTGGAACTGCCATGGACATACACTTCCACTTTAAGGTGGCAAAATGTAGGCCAATAAAGACTTGAAGAATTCCAATAATTAATGCACCAATAACAAAAGCAGAGAGCATATTTTAGGGAGATGAATGCTCTCCTGAAAATAAAAGGTTGAAATACTTTGAACAATAGCTTGACAAAATTAGTGTGAAGAGGAATATGTTATCAATAAAGCAGCATTAATCTGGCTGTAGAGTTGCAGCAGTCCATTGATTATAAATTGATAATCAAATGAATAGTCATCTATTTTGATAATTGTTTAATCAGTTGGAGTATTTTTTTTTTTAAAGTCAAAATTCTCTGATTTTAGTATCTTAAATGTGAATATTTTCTGGTTTTATTACTCCTGTCTGACAGTAAACTGAATATCTTTGAGTTGTGAACAAAACAAGACATTTGAGGACATCATCTGGAACTTTAAGAAACACTGATCAGCATTTGTCAGTATTTTATGACACTGTATTGACCAAACAATTAATTAATTAAGAAAATTATCAACAGATAAATCCACAGTGAAAATAATCATTCGTTGCAGCCCTACCTGGCTGTTGTGTTTTTGAGGTACTGTTGGACATTTAAATTGTATCTGTTAGAGTAATGTTTACCAAGTATGTTGAAGCAGTATGGTATCTGTCTTTGGTTGAGAGCTGGAGATGCACACTGATGTTTATAATTATAGAAATACACAGCTTATTATTGCCTTACAAGTTTGTTAAAAACAGGCCTGTTCCTGCTGCATAACTCCCTCAGAGAGCAATGAGTTGTGAGGTGATGATTTGTATTTGTACTATTACTGTGTTATTTTTCTGAAGTTGTTTTTGTCAAGTTTTAGTTAGTTGTACTGACTTGAACAACAGTCTATAGTTTTAGAATATTTTGGGGAGACACATCACTTTGTGGAATTGTTCAGGTTGCTCTATATGTTACAATGGTTGGAAAACTGTAAATAAATCCACTGTTGCACCTTTCAAACTAAATATTCATATCATCACATCATTTTCAGTCTAGCAGAAAATTTCATTTTTTATCCTGTGTGTTCATTGGGGATGGGACATTAGACGTGCAACATTTTAGAAGTTCCCAAAAATCTGACATTAAGTAATGTTGGCAGAAATATTCAGATTCTTTATTTAAGTGAAAATACTATGGTAAATGGACCTGCATTTGTATAGCGCCTTTCTAATCATCTTGTGACCACTCAAAGCGCTTTTTACACTACGAGTCACGTTCACCCATTCACACACATTCATACACTGGTGGCTACCATACTCCTTGTATACCATACCATACAAGGTGCCACCTGCTACTCAGTTTTAACACACTCACACAGCCATCGGGAGCAATTTGGGGTTCAGTATCTTGCTCAAGGATACATTGACATGCAGCCTGGAGGAGCCTGGGATCGAACCACTGATCTTTCGATTGGTGGCCGACCCGCTCTACCGTGATAATGTTCAGACAAGTAAACAGCATAAGCTGCTTGTCCAAGAAGTCTCTAGAGAAACAGTCATTGTCCTTCAGTTCCTGGAGACAATTTATCTAGGACTGGGCATGATGCATTCTCAAAAAGGCCCACCAGCTGATTGTGATTACTGGAGTCAGAAATATAAGAGTTAGTGACGTGACGATCTGCACTCCATTGTAGGAATCTCTGTATCTGTGCCATTGTGACATTTTCTGTTCCCAAATCTGCACGGATTCTGGAAGCTGTCCCCATCTCAACTTCTGCTAGGAAATAACCAGCGATGATCTTGGGGTTGCTGTTTGTTGAATAGGCAAGAAACCACACTATGAGTCTTGAAAAGCCATCAATTGCTCCATTTATACAAATACCAAACGGCTTTAGTTTGTCGTAGGAATCAACATGCCACATATAATTAGGCCCAGGGTTAAGGTACATGCGTCGCATCAGGCGATTTCTCCATCTTTGCTCAGCACCACGGGGGTCAAGAAACAAAAGCCTCACCATACTTTGGGTCACAACATAACCAGCCTGGATGCAGCTCAGGTGGTGTAGCTTGGTGCCTACTGTGCCCATCTAGTTGATCAATGAGAAATGATGCAGCCTCCAGAGGGTCAGACTGATTCTTCCTTCTGTACAATCCCATACCTTTTAAAATCCTTCGTAGAGTGTGCATACTTATCACAATGTCATCAGCTGAGCTCAGTATCAGCAGGATCTCGCCATGTCTCATCCAAAGCATGAAGTAAAACTTTATCAAATCGTGCAAATGAGCGACTTTCCTCAATTCATCCACTTTCAGCTCACTGTTTCATCATCCCTTCATTACTATAACGTGAAACTTTTCACGTTTTTACAACATAATTTATCACGTTATGACGTGAAACTTTTCACTTTTGAAAAGTAACTTTTATAACTTTTGTTATAACGTGAAAAACTTGTTAGAACAATAAACTTTTCAAGTTATAACGTAATACTGACCCACTATGTTTTTCCTGATGTGGCAGCAATACGCATTCGTATAAAATAGTGATCATTCATCAAAATCTGATTATTCTACGTCTCATTTAAAATTTTGCCAAAAATAAACCGTTTGCACGGACTAACCAGCAAAGAGTGAAAAAACGAGGCTTCTTTCAACTCCAAGATTTCATCTAGGCCTACAACTTTTAAATTTCAATCATAAAAGAGTAAGTTTTAAAAATCTAATAACCAATTAATGTGGAAGGAGGGTCGTGCATTTTCCACCTGTTACTCAAAGAGGTTTAAAGAAAAATATTTGTAGCATCACCAGCCACCCCCTCCTCTCATTAGTAAACAGCCCCTAACCTGGTCCTTTACAAACGTTTTAAACACACACACACACGCACACACACACACACACACACACACACACAATGTAACGTTATAAACAATTAGTTAGCTTACCATAATACAGAAGCTTTAGCTTTTGTAGCACTCGACAGTTAGTTCCGCGTGGCCTATCAGTCTTCATACGTCACAGTCATGACTACACGTAGCGATCAAATATCTAACTATTACACTATCATAACCTTAGCTAATAATGCCATTTAACGAGCTAAACTCGTCAACCAAAACTTGGCTCGTCGCTCTGTGATGGAAATAATTTCCATGGCAACCGTGCGTCTGTCAAATTGTTCCCCAGCTACAATAATAAACAATGGTTCCTGCGCGCCGCAGTATAATAAAACCAGCGACGGAAGCGCGCTCACGCGATTAATGTAGAAGCGCTTCAGAGGGAGGCAGTCAGCAGCATCTCGACAGGTACAGTCTCATTAGTCTTTTCTTTTTATTCAACGCTTTATGTTCATGTTTGTCCGTGTTTCAAGCCTGCTTGGCATTGGATGGATGGATTTTTCGGGTTATGCGATAACCTGAGAGTAACAGGTAGGCAGGAAAGCTGAATGTCACGCGACCAAGAGTAAAACAGATGGATAGAGATGAGTAGCTTATATATGTGTGTAAATTGATGTTATTATATAGCTAACTGTGTCACAAATGCGTATCTTCCGTACAGAGTTAGAATCGTTATAACATGTTATTATCGCTGATGTCTCCTGATGGTCAAACTGGACCTTCTCAGATCAGCCATCTGCTTCGCGGGGATGCACATTAAAGACATACGCCTCGGTCCTCACGTAGGCCACCGGGTTTTGTCCGCACTCGCCGTGGGTCACATCTGTCTACAGCACACTATGAGCAGAAAACAGCGTCTCAGGTAGCTAAGCCTTCAGGAAGAGAGAAGTGTATCCAGCATCAACTGAAATAGGAAGCTGGCTCTCTAGGATAAAGCAATGGTACTCAGCTGTTGCCTAATAAAACGAACATTTATATTTCCTGTTATTAAACGAAGGTATGACGGGGGTGAGACCGATTTGCCCGTGCGGAACACTGTGTGCACGTTTCACAAACTGATCTCTGACTTAGAGACTACACAGGTATGAAATAAGATTTTAAAAAAAAACACAGAGAGAGTAGAGTGAAATGGTCTGTTGCCATCCATCTTACCAACTAACAAGACAAGAAAAACTAAGAGTACTATACAAGACGAAAAGTTTTCAGAGTGGATGTTATTTCACAGAGAGAGCGTTAATCGTCGGCTCATTTCCTGACTCTCGGGCTGGTGGAGTCACCCTACTGATGCAATGAGCCTACACAGTTGTAGACTGTTGTGGCTGTGATGTAGAAGAAGTAGCCGGAGTGCCTACGTGCGCTCGCCTGCATACATGAAGCTGGTGGGGTCACGCATCTCAACGTCATCATTTCTCCGTCACTCAACCTTGGGATTTCCTATACGAGCCTGCTAATCAAATCAACTTTACGGACAATTCTGCTCACATCCTCTAGAACGTCTGCCAGCGTGGAGTATGAACTGAGAAATATCGGTTAGAGGCTGGTTCCGCTCATTCGAATTCGACGGTGTCCCGTTGTATAGTTACAAGATGTAGCCTGGAGTTACATCTTTGTGAAATAAATATGTGAAATATTTTGTAATAAACCTCGCTGTCAATGATTTTAATGCCGGCAACACCGCTCTAATTCCGTTCTTGTCCGATGAACAGAATCGGGTGCAGTCAGGTACATTAGGACATCAGGTAAAATGGGACAAATACGGTTTTACATCTTTGGCTCTCTAAATATTGGCAGCTATACAGCAAACATATTATTGCATTGCTATTTCAGATGTGCTTTACAGGAAACAATCATTTTTGACTGGTCAGAGATAACTACGATGGGCAGCAAAGAAGGTAAGGGACTGTACTTTACTTGTCAGAGGAGATGGATGGCTGGGGTGTGACTTGTTTTTTTAGACTTTCTAAAATTTACCCTTTGATGTTTAAAGTTAAAAGTTAGAAGATGAAGATGAAATCCTGGAGTTAAAAAAGGCTTGGTTTGGTTGGCTCAGATTTTGGTTGCATTTTTTTCTGCCGAGGCCTTGACCCACATGATGTGTCCAAGGACCATTGAAAATTTGAAAACCTAACTCTAATTTCTGTTTTTACACTTTCTGGCTGTGACAAATGGAGTAATTGTGGCATTTAAAAATACAAATAAAACATGTCCTCAGGTGAGTTTTGAGGGCACGCTTTCTTTAAAAAATGTCAACATTTTTACTATTTTTGTCTCTTAAAAAATATTAAAGATGTTGCAGTCCATGTAAGCCACAGTTGTCCAGTATTAGCCATCAGTGTCACACACATGCAAGCACACACACGTTTGTCCACTGTAGACATTAAGGCACCAAAGAAACAGGCAGCAAAAGAACATTAAGAGCATGGCAGACAAGTTGGACAATCTTTTCAAATGAATGGTGTTTATTAAATTAGTGACTTAATGAATGAATGAATGCATAAGCTGATAGAATAACCATTAAACCATTTAAAAAACAAACAAGCAATGACTGTCCCATTTTACCTGAACATGTCATGGGACATATTTACTTTATAGAAATATCAGAGATACATAATGGTTTTAAAAGTAACACTCAAGGTAGTCTTCAGAGTTTTAGGTTCTTTTGTTGGTAATCTACTAAAAAGAGTCCTAAATTACCTGACTTTGCTGTACAAGATTTTGGTCAGAGGCCTGGTGGATTTAATAACCAGTACTTTTGCTCACAGAATGATGGGGAAGATGTATTGGATTTTTGACATGGATCCCTCCATAGCTGGGAATGTCATGAGCGTTTGCCCCACTTGTCTCATTTGCTTTGTGGACTTGGTGAGTGTGTCTGACTTCCATGGAATGTATTATGGGAGGTTCTGCAGGAACATGGGGTACTGAGCTGCTACTCAGTCCTAACATTACTGCAGTGACTGCTGTGTTTGAATTCTTTGCAACACGCACATTCTTAGTGGATGATGGGTAGTGTTGGAGGGTAACTAGTTACTGAAACAGAGTTACATAGTTAAATGATAAATAAATGTAATCTGTCACTGTTACACAAGTTACTGTGGAAAAACTATGGATGGGAATCACGATTTGCTGCTATCACAGGTCACAACACAATATTATTGCAATTTTAAATGTTATGTGATTTGCCAAGTACAAACGTCACAAGTAACTCCTTGGACTTCAGAATGAACTGATTAGATTTTGATGGTCAAAGGTCACTATGACCTTGTCTGTCTCATTCTTGTGAACGAGATATCTCAAGAACACCCTTAAGGAATTTTTTCAAATTTGGCACAAATGTTCACTTGGACTCAACAATGTCCTGATTAGATTTTGGTGGTCATAGGTCAAAGGTTACTGTGACCTTGCAGCCGTCTCATTTTTGTGAATGCAATATCACCAGAATACCTTGATGGAATTTTTTCAATTTGACACAAACGTCCACTTGGACTGAAGAATAAACTTATCAGAATTTTGTAGTCAAAGGTCAAGGTCACTGTGACCTCACAAAACATGTTTTTAGCCATAACTCAAGAATTCTAATGCTAACTATGACAAAACTTCACACAAATGTCTACTAGGATAAAATAATGGAGTGAAGACTTTTATATCCAAAAGGTCAAAGGTCAACATCACTGTGACATCTTAAAATTCTGCATAAAACACTTTTCTGGCCATTACTCAACATCATATCTCAGGAAGAGAAGGGAAAACATTTGGTCAGATACTTTATTGATGACACTCATCTTGGGTGTCCACCTTGAAACTGTGCTGATTGTATAGATCCTCTGTGCTGCCGGGAGGAAGACGTGTGTGAAGCATCCATGTTTTCACAGACGAAGATGTAAACTTTAAGAGAAACTTGACTGGTGTGCAGCGGCCATGGGGCGGTAATACTAGTTTGTATTTAATTTACTGCTGAGTTTTAAAGAAAGCATTCCTTTGGGTGTGGAAGGCATGTTTTCTTTCAAATTTGCTAAAATTACACCATTAATCATAGGCAGAAGCTGTAAAAACAGAAATCGTCATTATTTTTCAAATGTCCGATGGTCCTTGGACACATCATGTGTGCCATGACACGCACACTTCTGTCAGAAAAAACATACTCAAACCTGAGCTTCAAATAGTGTTATTTCATCAAAATTACTTTATTCTACTTTTACCGTAGCGTTTGCATGAACTATCCAGCATGCATGACCAGAGTGAAAAACCAAGACTTTTTTCAACTTTTCAATTTGTCTTATATGTTTAACCATAAACCTTTAAACATCAAAGGTTTAAAAATCTGATTACTTATTTATGGTGGAGGGAGAGTCGTGCATTCACCAGTCACACAAGGAGGCTTAAGAAAAAATATTTGTATCTTTGGGGAGGGTTGAAGAAAAAAAAAAAAGACCCCAAAATTGGGGTGCTTGCTGTTATAGAGGCTGTCAAAAAGAGTTTTCCTTGTACTGTCTCCCATTCTGCTATGGGATCTGACTTAACCCTTCAGTTATAAACTGTAGACTGCTTCATTTTGTTGGGATCCTTGTGGAGTCCTTTCAGGGAATTCCTGAGGCCCTTGGACTGATTGTGGTGAGGACAGCCCTGATGAGGTACGGTGTAGTGGCTGCTGATTAATGTGCCAAATGCTACAGAAACTGCTGAAATGTTGAGCTGGACTTAGCAACTGGAAGACTGGGTCACTTTAGCCAGATAATATATTCTGATCGAAAAAGTTATTTAGTGTTGGAATCACTATTAAAGCTCCACTACACAACATGGCAGACCGGTGCAGTCATTATAAACATAAGTAAATTGCTACATACACACAATGCAAGATAACATCCAAAGGCCTTTCATCTGCATATGGGGGATGAGAAATGACCCCTGTGTGATAGCTTCTGAGTGTGTGTGTGTGTGTGTGTGTGTGTGTGTGTGTGTGTGTGTGGTATGTGTGCGTGTGTGCATGCGTGCGTGTGTGTGCGTGCGTGTGTGAGTGTGGAATGTAAGGGTCTTATTTTAGTATGGGTGCTGATATATGGGCCTCCTGACAGAATGCTGCATGGGTCAAACTGTGGTCATGGAAGATGTGGATGCTGTGGGTGGGCTTGTGGGAGGGGAATTTTAGGGAAGTGATCAAACTTGTCTGATTTAGTCAATGCCATTATGAAACATCCTGTTAGGGACAGACTGATGTCACAAATGAGTGCAATGAAGACATTGCTTTGAGGGATAGATTTATTAGGGTGGGGTTGTATGGGGTACTTATCCACAGTGAGTATATCACCTACAGTAGATGTCAGCCAGCACGGCCCCAGTTTGGGGTAACAGGCTAGAGTCCAACCCACAGGTTAAGAAATGTACTGCTGTGGAGGGGTCAGCGACAACACTTATTTTAACCACCTAAAGAAAATCAGTATCATTTTAAGTGTACACTGTATTGAGAATATTTTCACTGCTCCTTCTTACTGTCAGCCGGCGATTTCCAACAGGAAAATTAAGCCATTCTATCGCTCTCTTCAAAGCCAGACTCTATTGAGAAAAACAATGATTTCACATTGCTGAACACAGGGGCTGCTGATTGACCACCACCTTTTAAAACTATTTTGTTTGTGTTATTGTGTGACTTTGGCATTTAAAAGGCTTAGTTCAGATTCACCAAAGTCACACAATGACACAAACCAACTAACAGATCAAGGAAGCAGTAGACCAGCTGCTCCTGTGTTCAGTGAGGATATATTACTGTTTTCGTCAGTGGAATTCTGGTGGCTTTGAGGAGCGCATAGATGGGGAAATACTTCCTGTTGCTGACCCCTGTACAGCAGTGCATTGCTTAGCCTCTGTGTCAGCACTCCAGCCTGCTTCTCCAAACTGGGGGCATACCAACCAATATCTGCTGTATGTAATACACCGACTAACAATAAGTATCCCATAAAACCCTACTTCCAAAAATCAATACTATCCCTTGAAGACAAATGGAGCCTGTTCCATACAGCATTTGTGTATTTATACACATACAGTATATAGGTAGATATACTGGACATATTTACCATATTTATGAAAGATAAACTCATCCCATATGTAAATACTGTATTATGCAGGCTATATGATATCAATCATATCAGATTAGGAAAACATATACTGTAAAGAGACACATCTATGATATATATCTGACAACTCTGCTTTACATACCATATACATTTATCATAAAGGACAAATAAACCAAGAAACTACGGTAATAAAATATATGTTATAAATAATTAGTATACCAGATATAGGTAAGAGTTTAAAATTGATTTTTAATGCCCAAAGAAAGAAGTTTATGGTGTTCTCAAAAGCTTGCTCACAGTTTGATGATTTTAGCATCTTCACTTCTGATGGTAAATCCACTGAAAGAGTGTCCTCATACAAAACCTTAGGGGTATGGATAGATAGATGACAAACTTTCATTAAGTAATGTTTCATTAAACATATTGCTACTCTTGTTAGGAAGTTTAAAGTGAAGATTGGCTTTCATTTTAGAAATTAGTCTTGCTTTACTTTCAGTGCTAAGAAAAAACTTGTGGAAGCTACTTTTCTGTCTGTGATTGATTACGGTGACGTATTGTATATGCATGCAACCTCCTCCATTGTATGTAGCCTTGATTCAGTGTACCATGCATCTCTACATTTTATTACAAATGCAAAGGCACTTACTTATCACTGCATTCTTTATGATTTG